AATTGCGCTATGACCTTTATGTAGTAACATAAGGAGTACCAGCTCGTGAAACATCGTTCGTGATGAGTGTGAGATGCATCTAGCAACACGGTTGCTCAGATACCATTAAGCCTTTACGTTTTTCCCGCCCACTCATCGCAGGCAACTAAAAGTAGGCAGGCAATATGCTGTTAAACCTGGTCTTGGAAGAATCATTCGTCATAATTTGATAGTAAAGCTTCATATAATCGCTGTCTATGAGGCATTCATTAATCCAGTTTCTTTACCTTCTTTAGCTCTGGTCCTGATTTGTTCATTGTTTTAGAAGTAGCGAAGGATTATTTGCGAAGATGCACTGATTTTCGTGCTGTCAAAGGCATCTTATCCCCGGTGCAGGACTCCTATTCGAAAAAGGCAAGTTTATTCCCTTATAGCATTTTCCTTTGATCAGTTAATAAATATCCTCTGTGCGTTGCACCGCAACACAGTGTGATGCATTCCACAATGCACAGAAGAATTGGTAGTTCATCAGTTGCATTGGATTTAAAGCGGCACCTATAAAGTTCATAAAAAAACAACTTACTTCTCCACTTTTTCTCAAACGAAGTTTCGTCTATTAAGAGATAGACTTTGTTTTCACCGTCATTTCCTCAAAGATTTAAATCAGCAGTGGATTCCAACCTCTTTGTATATATGCTTTAATAGTTTCTCGTGAATAGACTCGAGTTCAAACTTCCATTAGTATGCGTTTGCTTGTCTGCTCTGTTTCTTTAGTAGTGATTTTGATAGAAATATAACTTGTTTGAATTGTCGATATTGTTTAATTCTTATTTACTCTGCAGTGCACTTTTACTAAACATGAAGTATAGCAGAAAGTTTATTCCCCGTTAGGGTTGTCAGAAGAAAGAGGAGATTAGTTTCTATAATATTTTTTGTGATAGCATCTTAACGTGCTTTATTTTAGGACATGGAAAGTTCTGAACATCGGCTGCAAATGACTCGGTTGGCTGCAGCAACTTCAGACTGGCTTCTTTAAGTATTTGCATGTTATTTGAGCGTGTTGTTATTAATTTCGATTAATAGTGCTAAATATTTTTACGATGGAATTCAGTAAAACTAGGTAATGGATGACAAGATGCAGACTGACAGACTTTTCCGAAGGTTGCGGTTGACGATTGAATTTTTATGGATTGACTCATGTTTGCTTCTTTTGAATTTTTTAAAATTTGTTTCTATGTTAGTGGCACCTATCATCTTTAGTCATATTGTACGTCGCACTGAACGACACGAACTGAGGTGATAAGACGCTTCTGTGACGAGCAGTCATCTTAGAAAAAAACTATTAAAAGTTTTTTCTTGTCGTGTTGCGCCTTTTGTTTCTTTCTGATGTTCCTCGTTTCCTACAAATGCAGCAAAACAACCAATTTCGCCGACTTATATATCATAAGTATCTGACAGAAGTGCACGAATTACTCACAAGTTATCAACGTTAATAAATAGTTACTCATTTGTACTTTTTTCCAACAACTATAACTTAGTTTCACTTGTCATCGAGTTAAGGCCCTAATCAGAGCTTAATCTTTTGAAGGTTACAGTTATGATTAATCTGATCGATACAGATTTTCTCGATGAACTCTTTTTCTTACCACTGTCAGATTTTGTTTATTGTATGGCCCAGCATCTGTATTCATTGGCACCGTTTTAGGGTCGATGACTGGGAATGCACTCAAAAGTCATGGTCTCGCACAGCCGTCGTGTTAAGGCATGTTCGTGACATGGTTAAATCACAAGGTGACGTGTGATAAGCAGTCTTTTGTAATAATTCTTTGTTCATTACAGAAAGCAGCACTTTGAGTCTTAGAGTTTCTCGGGTGTTTCTCTTATGCGGGGCTGATATGCTCGCTAGTTTCAAAGTACCAGGTTTATGGAGTGCTGAAGACGTAAGTACTGTTAGTGATACTATGTTAATTATATGTGAACTATAAAACAACTGTATTATATAAATGACATATTATTCGTCAGAGAAGTCCGGAAACGGTTCACTCCGCACACTTCCTTATTTTTACACTGTTCTTTATTGCATGGTGTATCGCTGCTAAAAGCTGTTGGCAAAGTCCGGGCTACTTCCGTCGCTCATGCTAGTAGTTGAAAACTTTTGCGTTTCCATGACCACGAACGAGGGCTGATACATGCGGAGAGATTAAAAATCTATTGGGCATATCAGAAGAAAGAAACGCGAAGTCATGCCAGACATTACTCTATAAAACACGCTCTGCACATTCAGCAACAAAAATACAGGACATCGAAGCCTGATAGCACAGAAAACGCGGAAACTATTTCGATGACAACAACAAGGTGTTTGATGTTTGGAGTCAAACTACATACATCCTCTGCGGTTATATCGATAACAGTTTTGCTACAGAACAACCTAGTGTG